AAAACAGTCAGGGAATTTTGTTTACTGCTTCTTGTTTCATGTTAAACTAGTGCTATCTTCACCTGGACCCATGGCAAGAGATGTGGACAGCCTGGCTCTGTGCATGCAGGCACTTCTTTGTGACCACATGTTTTCTTTGGACCCCACTGTTCCACCATTACCTTTTAACATGGAGGTGTGTCTTGTACTGTGGGATTCATGTCACTTGTTGATAATCCTTTGTTGTAATTGCCTGTGCATATATATGCATAAATGGTCTCATTTCATGTGAGCATTAAAAACAAAAAGTGATTCCCTCTTACTGTAGATATACAGAACCACCAAACCTCTAAGGATTGGTTGTTTGGAAAACGATGGCTACATGCATCCATCTCCAAGCATGGCCCGAGGCGTTAGAGAGGTGAAAGCTCTGTTAGAGCAAGCAGGACACACAGTAAGACGTCACCACACACACACACACACACACAAAAACAAAAACATATAACAATCATTTTCAAGTCATGTTTTTTAATGTTGGCTTTTGTTTCTCTAGTTGGTCCCTTACCATCCACTGAAGATGGATGAAATTTTCCCTGAACTAATGGTAAAGGGTTTTTTAGCAGATGGAGGTACCAGCCTGTTAACCAAACTGTGAGTTTTTTCTTTTAACAGTTTAGTTAATAGGTTTTTAATACCTAGAGATGCTGCCATTGTCTTCTTGAGCACACGATGGTGTTGACTGGTTTTGAAACTATTCCATTAATTAGTTAAGTATCTCAAAATAGGCTTTTTTCTTATGTGCTAATGAGCCCTTTCTTTTTAGGAAGGGGGGACCCGAGGACCCTTGTCTGAAGGGACAGTTTCATCGTTACCGTCTTCCTAAGTGGTATAAGACAATCCATTCATTTCTGCTCAAATCTAAGGTAAGCCCTCCAATTCTGTGACAGACACATACAAAAATAGTCAAATAGATGGTCTGTTTATTTAAATCACCGGATTGAGTGATTTAGCAGAATGATGCATATCTATCTATCTATCTATCTATCTATCTATCTATCTATCTATCTATCTATCTATCTATCTATCTATCTATCTATCTATCTATCTATCTATCTAT